TCATGACTCGAGGGTTCGCTGTGACCTCTTCCCAGCACGAGAGGCCGGAGAGGGAGGGAGAGCTGGGTGCGGCTGGGCGGCCACGGGGTTGCGGCGCCACCTCTCGCTGGTCTCGATGGTGATGCCTCTCAGACTCGAGTTGCGGCGCTGCTTCGCGGCAAACCTCTCACCCTCACAGACTCTCTGGGCATCTGGCCACTGCTGAGAAGCAAGGAGCCAAAGGGATCAGACTTGCAGTCCTCTCCAAGCCAGTTCCTCTTCTCAGCCAAGGCCTGTCCAATCTTATAAGTGTCCAGTGTTGTATCAAAGTAGAGTAAACTTCTGAAAGTTCGCAAAGTTTCCTGAAGCTCGCCTCGAAGGGGCTCGCGGATCCGTGCACGGCATTTTCGCCCACGTGCGGCTGGCTCGGCAAGCCAAGCCTCAACGCCACGAATACCCCCCCCCCCCCCCAAAAAAAAGGCGTCTGAATGATGCTGAAGTTCTGCTGAAGTCCGAGACGGCACGGCGCGGTGGCGCGACTGTGGCCGCGGCTCTGCCCAGTTTCGGTGGAAGTGCCCACGCAGAGACTTCGCGGTTGCAGCTGCAGGGTCCGTGTTGCCCACGATCTCGTCGCGAAACCTCTCAGCTTAATGCAGCTTTAAACATGCAGCTACACTATGCGGCTGCGATGCGGCCACAAGGACCTAAGGAGTCGCTTCGCAACGACGAAGCCGAGCCCAGGGCACTTTCCAGGACATGTCGCAGGCGTGCCACTTCACTTTGAACCATCGCACCGAACTGCCAGGCCGTGACAAGCGCACTCACACCCGGGTGCCGGAGATGCAGGGATGCCTGCCAGGTATCAGGTACTGGCCACGCATGGCCATGTAGAAGCCGTTGATGACCTTGTGCCGTGCTCTTAGGTGATCATGGCTCAAAATTGACTTGGCAGAGGTCCCTGGCAAAGAGGTCGCGTAGTTGACCGCAGTAGAAGCCGCCGCCGAACTTCACTTTACCAACGCCTGGACAGAGACAGAACGCAACAATTTGCCCAACGCGGGTACTGCAGCTTTGCTGTAGCAAGGCGAAAGAGTGTCAGCGAGGGTCAATGCCCCACAACATGGGGCCCCACATGTATAAATGAAATGCTTCTCCCCCGTTTATTCACCACTTTCAGCTTCCCTGAACATGCGCTTAATGAATGAATGGCCCCTTTCTTCAAAATCCTAAGGACCGGGACTCAAAACATGCATTGCCAGGGGTCAGCTATCTGACAAAACTCGTGGCTAGGTGATTCACCATTTACTTCAACTTAATTGCTATGTTCGGATGATATATGTATATATATATATATATACACGGTATGTTGGAGGCTATTTCCCGTATTTCATGTGTTAAAAACGCACAAAGGTAAGCGGTCATCAACGTACCAAGACTTGTGCTCAGCACCAAACCAGCCCAGGGAAAAACCACGTGTGGGAGAAAAACCCTGGGCCTCACGAACGCCAGCCGGCTGCTTTATCATGCGTTACAAAGAAACTATAGGGCCCTAACTTAACATTGTATTCTCAGAAATTACACGAATGCAGCTTCAGAGAATAAGACGTTTGATTGTGTTGGTTCCCCTCCTCAGCATTAATCTGCAAACCCCTTCACGATGTCAATTTAAGTGGAAGTCAGTTAAACTTCTAGCTCAAGTACTCATACCAACAAACGGCCGCCATCTATAATCTGAAACCACACAGACACAAAACAAGCTCAACCAAGAACCCACTATATGGCCTTTGAAATGCATAATAGGTTCAAGCGGTACCTTCACAAAATACCTCACTGGATGTAACAATCATACCTTATAGAATTATACTGCGATGTCAGAAGTTCCCCAACTTCAAACTCTGTATCATTTCACCAACGCAGCTTACATGTTTGGAGGTCAGTGATATTGGATAAACTACTTCTGTGCATGAAAAAAGTCGCTTTATGCGATGCAAATCATAGTTCAACTTAATTAGCTCATATAACTGAGTGACATTTGAACTCACACAATGGGTCAAAGGGGGCACAACACCGTACGCCGTACGCCACCGCACACCACCCCACTCTACCCCACTCCATCCCGCTCCACGCATCACCACGCACCGCCCCGCACCCCTCCTTACACGCCGCCGCCACCACCACCGCCACCACCACCAACCACAGCATCACCACCAACCACAGCATCACCACCACTGCAGTACTCCTACCAGCAGCAGCACCCACCACCAGTCAGCAGATCCACCACACTCCACACTCCCCTCCGTCGCTTATGAAAATTTGCCTGTCGGTGCATGCGGCTTGTTTTGATTTTTGGTGTCTCTCGCCTTGATGTGTAGTTGTTTGTTTGGTTCACTGGTGCGTCCGGGCTTGCTTAGTATGCTCTAATTAATCTCTACTCCAATATCTACATCCTGCAGCTTCATATGTCAGCTCAGTAATTAAGCTTAAACTTGAGCATGAACTCAGTGCAAGGCAACGATGGGTACTTGTAGCAAAGTTATGCCCTAATAAGTCCTAGTTTGGTATTGTGATGTCAAGTTAGCAAGTGTGATTGTGATTTGTTGGTGTGTTTGCTTAAGCAATGTGTTGGTTGATGTTCAGATGTTTGTGTTCACGCTTTGATGCGAAGATGTGTTCACCAGATGTGTTAACAAGTGTGGTGATGTGCTATAGAGTTGTGCATCGTGGGCGAGATTGTAGCCGATGTGTTGTGATCTTGCAAGTAGCAAGCTGTCCGCCGACCCCTTGCTCCAGCGTTGGCGGTGTCAGTGAAGACCCACTCTCGTCTTGCCCGACCCCTCCCCCCGCCGCCCACCCTCTTGAAATACGCGGTTCAGGTAGTCATAGATAGCTAGAATGAGTTATTATTTGTGCCTTCCACCGCCCCCAAGCACCTTGAACACCACGTAGTGAGAGATAGATAGATATATACAGACAGACAAAGCATCCCGCCCTCACCGCCCTTAAGCGGCCTCCAGTGCCCCAAACAGCTCTCACTGCCTCCCGCAAGCCCTCGCCGCCCTCCAGTGCCCCCCCGCTCCTAATCGGGGAGAACGCAATCGTAGGAGTGTAAAGCGGTCCTGAGTCTAAAAAACTCAAGCCTAGCTGGCCTAGCTCTGCTGGCTTTGAAGAAAAAACAAGTATAAGTATGTGTATGTGTATATATATATACATACATGTATACATGTATCTATATTTATGTATATTGATATCTATTTACTGATATTTCTATATATATATATATGTATATATGTGTATATATATACACATATGTATGTATGTATGTATGTATGTATGTATGTATGTATGAATGTATGTATGAATGTATGTATGAACGTATGTATGACTGTATGTATGTATGTATGTTTGCATGTATGTTTGTATACGTATGTACAATATAGTCGGGAAGAAACTGGACGGGTAGGGAGTTTCCACAAAAAGATCTCGCAGATATCCAGGACGCCGCTTTGCAGCACATCCGCCGCAACGTTGGATACAAACAAGCTCTGACAATGAAGGAATTCAGGATGCTCGTACAGTGAGGAGAACAGATCAGTGCAGGCATACAGGAGGATGCATTGATTGAGTATATACTCTCTCTCTATATATATGTATATATGCATATGCATAGAAACACATATTCAACAGACGTGCACATACGTGTATTCTAAAACAAAACAGCTTGACAACATGCCACGGCGGGCCCATCTTCAGCGTGTCCCAGTGGGCGCCCAGTTGCTGGGAAGTCCACCCCAGCCTCGCGCTCACGGGATTGACTTTGCATCATGTTGGCTGCAGTCGTTGAGGCACTCGTTGAGGCAGTCTGCGGCAATCTGCCCATCGCCTCTTCTGTGCCTCCGCGGCGTTGCACACCTTGTCCTGCTGTGAGCAGCAGCTGAGCAGCAGCACTGTAAGGTTCCTGAAGAGCAAAAAGCGTCTCGGCTCCGACCTCCTTCAAGGCATCCGCCCAAGACATGCCAAAGCACTCCTGGCGGCTTCTGCTGCTTTGCTGCGATTGCCATGCGATTGCTAAGATGTCGTTTGATGCCTTCAACATTCAGGTTTTTGTAGGAGAGGTCTCCTCGAACTCCTTCTGCGCATGCTTCGGCACGAGCAGCTCCGCCGGTTGAAGCTGCAGGGCTTTCTCCGCCACGCTACCATAGTGGACATCGATGAGACCCCTGCTCACTGCATGTTCATCCGATTCATCCACGGATTCAGCCACACACGTGCCAGACATGTGAACAGCAGTCGGCCTCTCGCGGATCTCCGTCGCGGAGATCTCGCCCTCCTGGCGACCATAGAGCGAGACGCGAGCGGGGAGATTGCAGCACAAGGTGTGCACAGCCGGTGTATCTGACTGGTTCTTCTTCTTCTCCCTCTTTCCCTCTTTCGCTCTTTCCCGCTCTCCCTCTCGCCCTCTCTCCATCTCTCCCTCTCTCCCTTCCTCTCTCGCTCTCTCGCAACTCTCGTTCTCTCGCTCGTCTTCTTCTTCTGCTTCTTCTTCTGCTGGGCATGAGGGACAGGGAGCTCTCTCTCGCTCTCTCTCTCTCTCTCTCTCTCTCTCTCTCTCTTTCGCTCTCTCTTCAAGAACTTCTTCTACGCACTTGAGAGCCTCTCTCTCTCTCTCTCTCTCTCTCGCGCTCTCGCTCTCCATTGTCACGCACCGCTCTGCTTCATATCTGCATCTGGTGCGGTCTCGCGACCGTTGGCGTGTATTGCTTTCTCGATGGACAAAATCTGCCTGCATCTACGCGACACCACCCTCTGAAGTCAAGGCAGCGCGTAGACCCATTCGGGTTTTGTCAATGGCCCCTTCGGGGAACCCTCCCGAGCCTGTCCTCTCCAGAACGATACTGCTCTTGGAACATGGTTCGGCATGTCGCGTTTCCCGAAAAAATCAGATCAACTTTGAGCACTTAGAGCGTAAAAACTTGGAAAGCAGCCAACCATGTGCCCCCTTCACTAGCATTTTGAACAGTCGCGACTCTAGTGAATCTGCCATCGAATAGAGATGAAGGTCTAGACAAATTTGCCCATGCAAGCAACGTAAAAGGGTGTGCACTCTTGGGTGCTCTCGCGCGCACTCTCTTGAATGCATAAAATCCCTCTGACAATTCATAAAATCCCTCTGACAATTCATAACATTCTATAACATATGTTAGATCTCTCCTCGACGACCTGGACCTTCCTCTGCCGGAGGAGCTGCTTCAGGCGGTCGCAGGCGACGGCCTCTGGGTGGGGAACCAGAGAGCACCACTCAAAAATAGAGAACACTCTTCCAGGACATAGTGATGCACTTTAAGGCACTTTCCCAGAGCCCTCACTCTCTTTGCGCTCTCTCCCGGGGCGGCTGCTGTGTTCGCGTGGGGCTTCAGCCTGAGCACATGCGCGTGCAGAGAACCTCCGAATGCTGGCGCTACGTGACTTGCAACCACACGCAACCCCATTACAAGGCCCGCGGCATCAAGAAGCCGTGGTTCTCCTTTGCAACTTGCGTTCTGTGGTCACTTATGCGTGCTGAGACTTTGCTGAGCTCCACACGTCCAAATTCAAATCCTCGACCTTCGAAGCTTAGTCAAATTGTTCGGAAATTGTAAATTCAAAAAAACACTCCAACTTCGCTCCATGCCACAGTGAGATGACCATACATACCGGGATACCGAGTGCATCTGTGAGAAGCGCCTCATAGTCGTAGTTTGCAAAGGTATCTTCCAGTCGCCGACGGCCATGGTGGCGCTCGGAGGGCCTCTTCAAGAAAGTGTGCGTGATCATGGCAGCCGCTGCGCTTCAAACGGGCGCCAATCAGTCCCGGCCTCTGCTCACACCTGGGCCTGACTCTTTGCAGGCTATGGCGCTGAAGCGGCTCCATGTCAGCTGAAGCTATTCATACTCATCCTGAGCTCCGGGCTTACGTTGAACGGCGGTGGCGGCCAAAGTGACGAGTGAGACGCTGGCCTCGCAAGGTGCCAGTCAGCCAAATTATGAAATGCAGGACATAATTTAACATACTAGTTGACCCTGAAGCGCTTCAACTTGGAGACAAGAATAAGCAGACGGCTTGCGACTTGAGGTCCGGATCTCTCGAAATTCAAACAGTGGCACACCGCCACTACCGCACATCCCACTACTGGGCTGCCAGTACTGCCCCGAAGGCCTGGAAGGTGGGCAAAGAAGTTGAAGACCTTGGAAGGGAACGGGCTCTGCGGGGAGCAGAGACTTCAAAGGGCGCTGCTTCCACTTGGGTCGATCTGGTGCCATCTCCTTTGGCAAGGCCAAGGTGCTTCCGGTAGTCCCGCCAACGCCGAGTGTGTAGCAGCCCAGAAGACCTGCAGGCAGTTGGGCGGCCCCGCGGGCAGCAGCATTTCCCCAAAAAGATCCGTGGCGCCTTCCAGACCTCACCGCTCGATGATGAGTCCGGAGCAGGGGTGCAACATGAGCCTGCGAAACCGCAGGGACAGCTTGTGGAAATTGCTGGGCAGCAGTGTGGCAGCAGTGTAAGCTGAGCACACGCATCACGCAGAGCTCCTGCACGATCGCGGATCCGTGCTTTAGGCTCATTCTCGCACCGCCGGTAGCTTGGACCGAGCGGCTCACATGGACGCTCAGCACTCCACTTACAAGGTCATACAAGGTGAGCTCATGGACGTGTCATGGACGTGTCATGGACGTGTCATGGACGTGCCAGACGAAGCTCTGCAAAAAGCGGTTTTTGTCGGTGCTCAGTGCGGCAGGTGCTCCTTCAGCTTTGAGGAAACTCTGGATCACACTGGATCACCTTGCTGTCTCCCTGTCGAAGACCGGCCGTGCGTTGAAAATCTCAATTGGTTTCGCAGCAGCCATAGAGATCCACCAAACCCTGGCCCGCACCGGGGATGCAAATTGCTTATTCGAGAGAATCCGAAATTATATGAAACGTTGGGCATCTTTGGGCAGCTTGATTCGCTGCCTTTGGTTCGGTTTTGTCACGCCTCAGTCGTGTTGACTGGCAGAATCGTGAATTAGAAACACTGAGAACATCAGCCATATCAGGGCCATATCAGAACTCGCAGTAGGCTTTCTCCGTGACTTCGGCACAGGCATCCCAGGATAAGGAGAATGCCGCCTTGACGCGGCCGTTCTTGCCCATCTCCCTAGCACGATCGAAGTCCTTGAAGACCTCTGAAACACCCCAAGCAACGCCTTCCTTGGTGGCCGAGACCACCCAGCCATCTTCGCCATGGGCAACAGGACAGCCCACCTGATCCGAGGCCACGACCACTTTGCCCGCCGCCCAGGCCTCGCAAACCGTCAGCCCAAAAGGCTCATAGCGGCTGGGGACCACTACGCAGTCGGCGATCTTGAACAAATTCACCAGCTCACCCCCCGAACGGGGTCCCAAGAACCTCACGGAGCCCTCTACATTCATCTCCTTCGCACGGTGGTCGCAGTGCATCTTGTTGTCCCCGTCTCCTACGAAGACCACTTTGGCATCCCCATGGCAGCCCAGGATGTCGGGCACCGCCTCCATGAGCAAATCCCCACCTTTCATCCCTCCCACCATCCTTCCCACAAAGAGCACGACCGGATCTAAGGGCCCAATCCCATAGCACCCCTTCACCGCAGCCGGGTCCTCCAGCATGCCATCAAAGCGTGCACACTGGATACCGTTGTTGATCGCCCAAACCTTGCCCTCCGGAATTTGGTAAGTGTCGCAGACCTCGACCTTCAGACGCTCGCTCACGGCGATCACGCGGTCAGCGACGAAGGAGGCCTCACCTTCCCAATCGGTGACTCGCTGAGACCCTCCGCCGGGGCCTGATGCAGCATGATGCAGCTCTGCGAAGACATCCCCTGGACTCGACGACGACGTTACGACTACGACCTTTTATAGCTACTGTACGAGTACAGCACGTCCAAATGCTCTCGCCTACCCTCTTTCAAACACGCAGGGTCCTCCAGAACGACCTTGTTCAGTGCTGTGGAAAGTGAAGATGCACCTTGTGCCGTGAGTGTTCTTGCATTGCACCATCGCCTTGCAGGCCATCCAGTCGTGGGCGTGTGCAATGTCGAAGTCGCCAATAAGTCCCGCGGTCTCGCCGAAAGCCCAGGCCATGGAGTTGCACATCTTCTCCATCTGATCAACCAGGTCTTCACAGGGCGGGCTGTTCACGCGGTGATACCTCCACAAAAAAAACAGAGGCAAATCCGCAGGTACTATCCGTACCCTTTTTCTGTGCAGTCTGCAACTTTCCCCGTTTCCCGATGCCGGGATGGGTGGCCTCGTTATCTGGGCCACCCCTTTGACAAGTTGAAACGTTTGGTCAGTAACTCGCAGTGACGAACAATCCTGTGTGTTGAGCATTTGATCAGTGGTGGTGCGCAAACAGTCCAAAGGCCGGTGCCGAATGGCCACAGGGCAGGTGGGGTTGCCATCAGTCCGCGGCGGAGTCCATGGGTAACAGTCTGTAATGCAGTCGCGCTGGCTGCATTTGCAGTTCCAGTTGCACCCGGCCTCCATGTGTTTGGGTTGGCTGCAGCGACGCTTTCGTCATCATCGATGTAGTCAGCTCTTAATCGTTGATAATTTTGTGTACTAATTCTTGATTGATTTCATCGATAGTTATATGATCTAGCACAGCATCAATTGATTCAAATCGTTTGTTTTCATCATTCGTTTGTCTTGAATAATAAACTTCTGATTTTTCTGCCCTTTGCCAGTAAATTGGTTTTGATTTAAGAAGTTGGTTGAAAACAAATTGACTTGGTGATTTTATGGCTCCATTATATGATACATTGTCAATTGTCAATTTCTTTCTTTCTAATGTTAATGTGAGCGGTACAAATGTTGTATCAACAGAAGATATCAATGATATGATTGATAAATACTGACTGATAAATATGTTAAGAATTCAAACCAGAAAATGACAATAGTGTTAAAATAGAGGATGCAGTCCAGGCACATCACACCATAGATCTCCTGACACGGAGCAGCTAAGTTCAACTTCAGATAGAAACGGCAAGATGGCAACACACGCCTACACACACACACTGGCACACTAACACAAAAAGAGACGCACACAGGGATGCAGACAGTGTGTCTTCTCGGGTGCAACTCAGTCCTCGTGTAATTGTTGGCCCTCAGCCCTTCGTGTGAAGACGTGGACCTCGTGCTGCCGCCGCTGCAGTGCGGCCGCCAGTTCCGTGACGTGCGGCGCGACGCCTCCTATTGAGATGGAGTGAAGGGACTCCCAGGAGAACATGGCGATCCGCATGGCGTCCGATGAGCTGCAGCAAAAGCCCTAAGATCTGCGAAGGCTCGACGAAAAAGTGCTGCCGGGCACATGCCCATTCAGTTCACTAACGTCACTAACGAAGCACTGGAGGGTGCAAGAACATGCCTCACCCTGGATTTACGCAATTTGTCTTTGCGCACGACATGCAAGGACTCACCAACGGGAGTGTCGCAACTGATTGCTGCTTGCTAGCACGAGCCTTTGTTCACGTCATCCGCCGCTTCATCCGGACCCTCCACGATGCTTCTTTGGCTTGAATGGGCGATATTCCAAACCTCCTCACTCGCAGTTGTCGTTGCCGAAGAAAACAGCAGACAAGGACGAATCACCCACATGTGTAGAAAAAGCCGAATGTTCGCATTCAGATGATGCGGCACAGACGCTACAATCACCCCCATGCAGCAGCTAGCAGCTCGCTTCTTCATGGATGCTGACATCGGCACGTCATCAGCTCATGTGCTCAGGGGACTGGATATTTTGAGTCTTCAACATTAGCCGCCCGCCTCTTCCGCGTGCCCTCTCTGCCGATTGTTGTGAAACTTGATTTGGCAGCATTGCGCGGGACAGCTGAGAAAACTCTACTCCCATATAATTAAGCTCTTTGCGAAACTCTGGTAGCAGGACTTTGAGGAGGGTTTTTGCTGAATCCTCGGCGCGGCTCAGTACCCTGTATCCTCCAAGGGCTCCTCACGCGCTCAGGTCCCCGATTTTGCCCGCAAGATCTCCCAAAACCCTCAGAAGCCTATGAGCCTTGTAAACCTTGCACACTGCCTGCAAACTTTTGACCATGAGTTCATGCTGCTGATTTCGCCTGGTTTCACATGCTGAGCTTCATGCTTGGAGGCGAAGGGAGGTGGCCATGTGGTGCTGCACTGACGCCTCACGCAAAACAATGTCACCAAAGGCTGCGCATCTAGGAGGGAAGAACGAAACACCGAGAAAGAGCAAGAACAAATGAAGCAAAAACAAACCCAAGTCACATGATGTTTGCTACAAGCTCGGCGGGCCTTCATGCCCCCGCAAGTGCGCTCGATCTCGCTGTGGGCCTTTATTGTCAGTTTACTGTTGCGAACAGCTTCGTGATCCATGCTCGTCATGCTTTTTGACCGCCCAATGGCCGCCTGATTCACAAACAATAAAGCTCCGAAGGCACCCTCCCCTGTGGAATCTGCCCCTTTGGGAAGGGGTGGGCTTTGAAACCTAGGAGGGCTCAACCGAGCTTCAAACGTTTTGAGTCGCTAGGGGTTTAGGTGTTTATGGTGTCTGTGAAAAACTCTAAACGCTATTGAAACTTTAACAACATCTCCGCATATTGCGGCCTCCATCGTGCATTTCCACATATGCCGGCATTGAACGCAATGCCAACCCTGAACGATTCCCCTAGCCACCGTGCGATTACGTGCAATAACAGCTCACGAGTCCTTCCCCAAAGTATTGGCAGGATTGCGGCTGCGAATTCGCTTCCCCTGATCCTAAACCTGCGCCCCTTAAATACCCTCATTCTCAAATACTTGAGGAGGGGTATTGAAGATGAGATGGATGCATTTACATGGTGCGCCTCGTCTGCAAGCTCCGTATGTTGTCGCAGGTTGTGCTGAACCTTGCTGTGGCAACGGCTTAAGTCTTGCAATTTAGAGCAGGCAGAACCGACATACTGAAAGGTCTATGTGTGTCAGGTCTGAATTGACCTGAAATGTCCCTCAGACGCTTACCAACTCCAACTCCTTCTCCAGGCGCTGGCGCTCACCGCTGACCTGCAGCAAAGATTTCCGAGAAGGGGTGCATATGAGCTTGTCATAAACCTTCTGAAGCGAAGCATGGCCCATCTCCCGCTCCCAGTCCAAAAAAAGTCACGAGGCTTCAAGGCATCCAAGGACAACTGCCGTGGACGTGGCAGTAGCTGCCATGGCATGGTGCAGGCCCACAGCATGCTTTGCCTGGTTGAGCTGCTGGGTGAACATGACGAGCTGCTGCTCCAGCCTCTAAAACACAGGGGCAACTACATGCCCTCCGTCACTCGCAGCGGCCTCGCTCCTCCCCCGCTGTGCTCCCGCTCCGCTCTGTCGCGCGCCTGTCGCGCATCTCGGCTCCGCGGGCGAGCTCCGAGTGCTTGCGCCTCAGAACGACACAGCAAGAGCAGCACAGTGCGCTGAGAGACGAAAGCAAAAGCAGCTGCAAGAGCAAGAGAGTTGCAGCAGCTGCTTCTGCGCTGTGCCCAGCACTCATAGTCTGCTTTGAGCAATTTGCACTCCTTCGACAATTGAGCCTCTGAGGACATGGCGTGCACAGCCAATGCAAGTATAATGCATGTATGCACAGCACACGCACACACGCACGCACGCACACGCTCACACTCACAGTCTCACAGCCACACACACACACACACACCGTCACACGTAATTCGTTTACCCTCTACACATGGTTTGTTGCTGGGTTGTGCTGCAAGGAGTCAGCCGCAGGTCGCGCCTTGAGCTTCCGCGCTTCTCCAACTTCCAGGGCCAGCTGCTGTTTCCGCTGCCCAGCTGCCTGGCGACGTGATGTCTGCTGCCCGGCCAATCTGGCGACATATTGCGCCTGATTGCAGAGTACAGCAAGCAAACGCAAAAGAACACAAACACTTAAGATTCGGAACCCGAAGGATGCGAACGCGGCTGCGACCGCGTATGTGATTGCAACGTCTCGGAAAGGCTTCAGAGAAACATTCAGCACAACCACGGCCTCGACAGCAGCCTTCATGTCCGTGAACTTAATCACAGTTTGGCCGTGGAACTTGTCCTTTAAGCACGACCCCCTCTCTCTGAGCCATGTCAAGTGTCAGCATGTCAGAGACACTACGAGTATGGCTTTCGGCAGTTGTTCCCCACCCTCGGTGTGGGGTTGTTAGATTTTAACTCAAGTCTTCCTCGCCCGGAACTCTTCTCCTCACCCGGAACTCTTCTCCTCGCCCGGTCTACTCCTCGCTCATCCCTGAAGTGCCCAACCCCAAAGTGTCCCTGGAGTGCCCAACTCTAGAATGGAGTGCCCAACCCCCGGGGTCCCCAATCCCAGAGTCCCTGGAGCGCCCAACCCCAGAGTGCCAGCCCCACATTCTCCCTAGAGTGTCCAACCCTAGAGTCTCCCTGGAGTGCCCAAACCCAGAGTCTCCCTGGAGTGCCTAGAGTTTTTTTTTGGAGTGCCCAATCCAGAGTCTCCCTTGAGTGCCCAATGGAGTACCCAATCTACCAAGAGAGGGTGGGGATGTTCGAAGTAAAATAATTTGAGGAAGAATTGCCAAAGCGTTGGAAAGATAGAAGTCCAGCGATATTACAGGAGCTTTGCGGCAAAAGCACCTTATCCCGAAGCAAACATCATTTTCGGTCATGCATTACGGAGGAAAGGGAGGCAGGGTTGAATAGGAAGCAGCTGCCGTCGCTTGGTATCGCAGTCAAAGGGTTGTCGCAACCCTGTCCTCGAGCTCTGCAGTCTTCTGAGCTCGCTCGTCAACTTCCACCCTTCACATTCCCAAAGGACACACACACACACACACGCAGAAAATCACACAAAGACGCAAAGCAAAGAGAGCCTCACGGAAAGCTTCACGGAACTACAAGTTTCAGGGACTCCATCAGCACCCCTGGAAACTCCCTTCGAGCAGATGGCGGGCGCACTGATGTTTGCAGACCTCCGCCCGCAAAAGCTCACAATCCCTGGCGAGGCGCACAAGGGTATGCTGCAAGATGCTACAAGTCAATACACGCTATAACACGCTGTCACTTCCTAAGACGCTTCGGTACACGTGTATTTATTATTGTCACTGCGGAATTCACGATAAGGTCGCTTCGCCTGGTGAGCTGGTCCAGGCTTTGCTTGTGCTTCCGATACCGCGAAGCCCAGTCCTCTATCAGCGAAAAAAGTGAGAAATGAAAGAGACTTGAAAAGTAGCTCGAAGTTCTCAGAGCAGCAGAAAGCCCAGTGTCAGCACAGAAAGAGTGGCACACGTCACACGTGACCGAAGAGGCTGGAGTCCGACACGTTCTGGTCGAAGAGCTGGCGCAGCACCACACGTCGCAAGAGTTGTGTAAGACTTGCAAGAATTAAGGCTCTGTGACTTTGTGGCATTCAGACTGCAACATGATGCGACTTTGATGCGACGCCCGCCTTCTTTCGCAAGACCGGCCCTCCAGATGTGGAACCCACGCTCACACCTCGCGTGCTCAAGGCATCAGGTGCATGGCTCCATGCTCCATGTGCTACTCGTTCAGTGTTGATTGCGTTATATTGCATTTTGATTTCTTCTCCAACTTTGAAACAGCGCCTGTGACGCTCGCCACGCTGGCCTGCTCCACTGGCATCTCGCCTCTCGCTGCGACTCTCGCTGCGACTCTCGCAAACATTCGCAAACGCCACTTGCGCGACACAAGTCACAAGTGGCGGAAACATTCGAGTCAACTTCTCCCTCTTCTTGGTTGGCCCGGGGCGGAACACGTCCAACACACAGTAGCGGCTACTTTTTTTACACCAGGACCTCGGCAAGAAAACGTGGGAGTGTGGCGCCCTGAAGGTGTGCCGTTTTTTCTCTGCTTTTCTCGCATTGTCTTCATGTTCGCAAATGTTCCAGGATATGTAGATACTGTCTTCTCATTGGAGCCCTGAGGGGCTTGATGCAAGTCCTGGCACATGCTAGGGAGTCCTAGGGCTGGCTTTTCAATGTGTGGGCATGCTTCAGAATGCACCAGTCTTGAGTTCCGGCCTCAAGGCTTCAGACCATTTGAAGATTTGAAGGTTCCAAACTTTGCGGGCAAACTCCTACTTCTGAGGGTGGCCTACTGTGTTACATCCTGATCTCCGCGGTCCTCCGGAATTGAGAATACTGTGCGCAGATATCATTTCACAAGTTGTTGGGCTTTCCCAACACCGCCCAACAAGCTACTTGGCCGTAGATATCTTGGTTTTCATGCTCACTGATTCCCAAAAGCGTTCCAACATTTTTTGCCAATATGTACAAGGCTGCTTGTTCTTACTGGGATGGAAGAATGCACTCCTTGGTTTGGGAAACGGTGCGTCAGCATGCATATGACCAACGATTCTGCAACGACTATCAAGTCGGGCTGAATGTGTGACAGCCTTGCAGGTTTGTTTGCAATTTGTTAGGGATCCGTCGGCAATAGGGCGGCAGGGAGTGTATGTGGCAACACAAGACTACAGACGCAAGGGGAGCAGATAGCAGGACAGGAGCTGTTGTTCGTGGATCCTGGGTGGGGTACTAGGGGTTGCTGATCGTTGCTGATCTCCGTTTACCATAGTCTCTTCCTCCTTCTCAAACCTCCGCCGTAAACAGAATGAACTTAGGGGGGGGGGGGGGGGGGGCAGGAGGGGCGTAGGTGCGAAAAGTGCTTGTGGGATCCAGGGGCATGCAGTCGCATCTCACGTCGCGCCTACCAGCGGAGTGTTCACCAGCCTGCACTCGTTCTAAACAGTTCCTGCTATCGGCACAAGCAAGGGCAAGAACAGGACGCCACCTCGCCTGGCACTGACCGGCGCGATCGGTAGACCTTCCATTTCTCGTTCTTCGAGAACAGAAGCAGGCAGTCTGCAGGGTTCTGGACGCTCTTCCGCACCTTGCGCTGGATAGCCCGCGCCAGCTCCTTGTTCTCGAAAGTCTGACAAGGAAGATAAGAAAGCAAAAAGCAACACCAGAAGCACAGCAACAAAAAGAAGCTACAGCAAGAAACGCGGGGGGAAACTGCGACATGATGCTGTCGTTCTTGCTTGCAGCGCATATGACCCCCGGGAGGGGGTCGCCCCAAGGGGCATGCTCCGCCGAGTCTGCTGGTGTTAAAACGGGAACGTGGGGGACGACAGGTCGCTCCCTCTCTCTCTCTCTCTCTTTTCTTCTTTCTTTCTTTGTCGTTTTCATTTTGTCTGTGGAGCACGAAGTCAAGGGCTTCCCCCCTCCGTGCGGTCCGCGCGCCCCGGTTTGGATCGTAGGGGGGTGTGATATCACCCCCCCCATCAGCCCCTATCCCGAGCTGCTCCCCCTGCGATGAGCTTACGCTTGAGGCAGCAGAAAAACAAAAGCGGCAGGAACAACATGGCATGGCGTCCCACTCCCCTCCTGAATTATGGCCTCCCCCCCCCCCGCCCCCGGACAAAAAGTGTTGCTTCACGTTATGCCATGTGTACTCAGGACTACCTGACAGAGCCAAGGAGAGCAACGTCGCGCCCAAGACCCCCCACAAGTGGGAGCTTTCGATTGGAGCGCTGGATGGTGGAAAGCAATGGGACGAAAGCAGCGCGAGGACGAGGAGAGAAAGAGCGCAACCGTGCCAAGCAAGACCGTGACGAAGTCCCGGCCTGAACAGTAGATCTCAGTAGGGGAGTGAGCATCATGAGGGGGATGGCAGCAGTGGGATGATGCAGGCGGATGTGGGGGATGGGGAGGTTGTCTGCTTCGGAGTTGCCGGGTGGTTTGAAGTTTGGGGAAGGGGAGGTGTGTGTTTATGCGGACTGAGGGGGGGAGAGGTCCGGCAGCAGGGACGTTGGCGCTGGTGTCGGTAGGTGCGCCTCCCTATCTGCTTCGTGGTGTTCGGTTCTTGCTTTCGCCAGGCGGTTGGTTGATGCTTCACATCACCGTGCCTCAGCGTCGCTCCGCGTCGCTCTCCCTCTTGGCTGTCCGCGCGCTGGCCGCTCCCAGCCCCCGCATCGCGTTGGCAGCGGGCGCACGTTGGGTTGCGCGGCCCCAAGATCTCAGCGATTGCTTCTCGGACCCCATGCATATGTCGGGGCCCCAACAACACACCCTGACAGTGGTTGGACGGTTAGACAAACAGCCAAATGTTGTCTTCCTCCTCTCGTGTTCCCGCTGACCGCCTAGATCTGACAGGCTGCTCACTCAAAGGTTGGGGGTCTTGAAGAAAACTACCGCAGGATCTGGCTCAGTCGTGGGCCCATGGACCCCTGTCGAGACCGCTGTACAATAGTTTGCTTTGGCACAGTATACTACTACAAGTGACTTCCAGGTTACCATGTCGACTAGGACTAAACTGTAAGCACCTGGACATCTTCGCAGTGAGTCTGTAGTCGCGATACTTTCGTAGCACCATACCTCTAGGCCTCACTACACTCGAGGTCAGAAGACTCTCTCAAATTCTCTGAGAATTCCTTCCTCTCTTTGAGTTCCTCTCTCTGTCCTCCCTTCTTCTTTCTCTCCCTCGCTGAGGCCCCGGGCGCGAGGGACCGGGCCCGGGCTCCTGCGGGTTGGACTCCGACCTCGAAGGGGGGGGGGGGGGGGAATAGGTGCGCGAGAGAGTTTCTCTTGCTGTGAGAAGAGAGAGAACAGACTCATCATCTTACTCTTCCTCTTACTCTTCCTTTTTTTGCCCTACTTATTGTTTCAGTCTCTCAGTCTCCCTCTCTTTACTCCCTCTCCGCTTTTAACTACTCCCTCTACTCTCCGAAAGCGCTCTCGTCCATGTGCGCGAACCCAGAGCTTGAGGCGCCCACATGGCCCCCTACGCAGTGCTCCGCGCCGTGGGGACGTGCTGTCAGAGTTTTTGTGGAATCTTTACACGTCTGGAAAAGGGTGCTTAACGGTTCAACGAACTGACTTTGAAACTAACTGCGCCATGCAAAGTCTCGGCTTCGCGTGCAACACTCATCTTCTGCAATGGGTCGGACATAGAAGCTGTCAAAGACTCAAAGGCGGCAGCAGAACAAGCTCAAGCTGATCTTGTCGAGTCATGTGAAAAAAGCAGATGCTGTGGATGTCCGACTCCGTGAAGGAGTCCCGCCAACTCGCTGTAAAAGTGTCACTGCAAACGTGTTGCATCGTGCAGTGCGGTGACTGACAAGCCTGGGACCCTGGGATGAGTGTCACACCGACGCCCTCAAGCTCGGGTGGGCGAAGCTCATTCTGACGAATGCAATTTTGAATATCTAAATCGTTGGTTCGTGGCTTGTCGTGGCTTTATAAGGCTCCTAACGTTGGCCCTCGGATTTGGGCGGCGCCACCCGCGCAAGAAATAGTTGTACGACTTCGGCGAGCATGGGATTGGCAAACAATGATACGTCACTACATGCGAACACAACAATCTGCTCCCCTCGACCTTCTTCCCCAAAAGAAGCCTCGATTGAGCATTCAGACCCGGAAATTCGTGAAATCTGCTTATCGAGGGTGCTCGTCTAAGCGTGCGGCTTCATGGATGCACTGCTTACTGGTCACATGGATCTGGCCATTCCCACGCACTGGTAACACGGACGTAATCATCGTGCGGACATGGATGCTCTGGCGATTTGCGCGCGCACTGGTCACATGGACGTGATCATGCTCTGGCCGCATTGGCTGGGTATTTACGGGTATTTGTTATCAAGCAACAAGATGCAACAAGCTTGTTTTTGGAGCTCTTCGAAGCGGACTCCGGGCCAAAACTGCAGGATGCAGAGGCCACGCTCTGCAAGGTCTGCACTGCAAGGTCTGCAAAACGGACCATACGGTGAAACTGTCCGCCGCCGTCTGAGCCGTTCTCTGTACAGGCGCTTGCGACGTGGGGGCGGATGCGCGAAGGCCTGGGATTGCCTTACGGGCTCCGTTCGAGAGGAAGGCTCTGCCGCTTACATCCGCTTACGCCTTACGCGGTACTAAGAGTCTATACATGGGTCACCTCCAGTCACGTTCTTGTCGAAGTCTACAGTGCGTCACCCTTCCGTGCTCCAACGGCCCCCCCCCCCCCGCGCGCGACGAGATCATCCGGGAGAGGACTCTAGATAGAGGGCGCGCTGGAGAGCAGGACTCAAGTTGGCTCACAAGGGAAGCTCTGATACGGGATTTGCCAGTGCCAAAGACAGTCTTACATGCCTCTGGGTTTCCCTCTTGGCTTCCCTTTTTGGCTCCCCTTCGGCCCCTTGAGCCTACAGCTCCTCTTGGCCGAGCGCCTCTTTGGAGCCGCCTTAGCGGTTGGCGGTTGGCCCTGGTGGCCACGAGAAAAAAAACCTTACACGGACTACGCAAAAACTTATATAGCGGACCTCACTCAAATTCGAGGCTTCCTTTGAAAAGTCCCCGAGTTTGAAGCGGGTTCTTGTGCCCATCTAGGGACCTAGCCTGAGCCCAAGCAGCGCTCCACTCACAAGGAAGCACACCCTAGCTGAGCCTGTGGCGGAACTACAGTACAATTAAGATGCAGACAAACACTACATTCACCTCCAGGGCTGCCTGGGGCTTAAAATGGCCGAATCCAAAGACGTCCAAAGGATGCGGGCCACACTGTGTTTTACACTGTGTCTCACTACGAGGTCCAAGCGACCCACTTAGCCCGCTAAGTTTTTTCCAGGGCTTTCTCTGCCGGACCTCTCG